GTTTTCTCATAACTTCAGTGAAAATGCTCCAAACGGCCCAAAACTTCACAGGTTTGGGAACGATACAGCCATCAACTCATCTAAGCGTGTTATGGGATGTCATCAAATGCCGTTGGCATGGCGACAGATCATTCACCATCAAGTTAGTTCGAAAGTTTGCATTTCAAATATTCTGCTGCTTTTCCAAGCCTTTTTACTTTCTTTTCTTCTCTCATCACACATTCAAGCCCCCAGTGTTCATGTATAATTTCAATCGAAATTCTTCACTTTCTTCTTACATTTCAGCATAGCAGTTTGGCGTCAGCTTTTCAGCATAAAGCATTCCCACAAGCAATTTCTTCAGGAATTGCATTCTCTAGTCTATGATTACTATACGCTTTTCATTCATAATTTCAGCGGGAGGGAGGGGGAGCAGTGCTGAGGAACAGCAGAGATTGACAGGCGCCTGTGTTGACATTCCCCTTATTGTGTTTTAGGTTCAAGTTAGACAACTAATGTCTGGGTTAGTGTTCATGACTTCATGTTTATCTCATCTTAATGGTTAATCTCAATGCGCACACATTTTCCGTGCTTTCCAATAGTTTAAAATAGTTTTATTCCACTGTTAAATAACCTGTTCAATACAAACATACCACTTGTAAAAATGAAATGACATTTCTGTGAACTGATATTTGTTTAGTGAGCTTATTAGAGGATGTTCCCTGAAAGATTGTAAAATGTCAATGAAGATGTCAGACTTAGTATATTTGTTAATAATTACATACAATACATGGAATTTGTGTGTGTGTGTTCCAAGTGAATCTGCGGCCCCCTGGTGGCCAGTACATAAATGATGTGGCCCCCACCACCATCCAAGTTGCCCATGGCAGAACAATACTTTCTAAAAAAACAACAAATTCCACTGTGAGCTCACAAACCATAGAGAGGCGAAGTCCCTCCCTTTCCGGGGGAGCTCCATGGGACCTTATTTCGGAAAAAGTATGTATTGAAGTCAATGGGGAGAGAAAGATTATCTTTCGATTCCGTTTGAATTGTGCCACGAATTACACATATGATGTTTGTCAATTTAAAAGATAATTTTGCAAGTCAAAAAAAAAAAAATGTGTCGTAAAAACTGAAGTAACACTTTTTTGTGTGTGAAACCACTCGAACTACATCTTCCTTGCACCACACACCAAGACGGCCGTCACGTTGGCACACTTCACTTCTTTCTATCAGAATGAGGCGAAAAGTATTAAAAGAGCTGAAAATCACTACAAGTCTGGGCATGTTGAGAGCTGTACATACACACAAGGGGAGTTAGTCGGTTCCGTAAGAGCCAGCATGCGGGACCGGGGTTCTGGGATTTGTAGTCTTTTTAGTTGCGTATTTTTCATAGTCTTATATTTCAAAAAGTTTTACGACAAACTGTGACTTTTTTGACATGGAAATTATTATTTAAGATTGACAAACATCATGTGTGTATTTCGTGGCACAATTCAGACGGGATCGAAAGATACGTTTTCTCTCCCCATTGACTTCAATACATAATTTTTCCGAAATAAGGTCCCATGATGAAGTAGATGGGCGGGACTTCGCCTCTCTTTTGCTTGCTGTGAATGTAAGTTTGTTTTCTTCGTGTGGCAATGGCATCATATATAACATGAGACTTTAGATATCATATCATGGATGTTACCCTGATCATATGGCAGTCCAGATACAAGTTGACTAGGAAAGAGATAAGAAGACTTTATTTATCCCGAAGGAAATTGTTGTGCCAGAGTAACACAAATACAATAAACACAGCAGCATAATAGTAAAACTGTACACTAAAAGCGCAGTAAAAAGAGCAATTAAATATCTACAGAAAGGCTGAGGTAAACCTGCGGACCTTTAAACGGATAGGAGGAAAAGTCCTATGTAAATACATTTATGAATACAAATACATTTGATTGCAAGAAACAAACAGTGTGAGGGGGAAAAAGTAACACCTTCAGTTCTTAGATTAGCAGAAAAAAGCATAATGATAACAACTCAATCCAGTTATAGTAGGAGCTTCAGCGTCCTCCTTACTGGGACATTTAAATGGAACCAAATAGTTATTATTGGTTACACCTTACCAAAAGGCCCACAGCTACAGTCCATAAAAGGGGTCTGATCAGGTAATAACTGAAAGCACCTGTGTGGGTTCCCCATTGTTTGTTCAAATGCAATATTGTAATGGTTGAATCACTTCACTTTTCTTAACATTGCAATGATAGGTTTTACTACTGAGAGACCTGTGAACTATTTCCCCAAATTACTACTATTAGTCATCGTATAGAAGAAACTTAACTTTCTTTATGTACAGTGGAATATGTATTTGCATGTATCACAGTCCCTGTTACAGCCAACATCATGGCACTTTTTTTTGTGCAGTCTGTGCATCCCTAATCTAACAGACCCAAAACCAAAAATATGTTCTTTAGTGAAGACTAAGAAAAAGCAGCAAATTCTTACATGTGAGAGGCCGGAGGCATCAAATGTTTGGTCATTTAGTCTAAAATAACTCAAGCGATTTAATAGATGATCAAAAAAGTTTCCTACTACTTATTGGCAATACCTTTGGTGCAAATGTGACAATGTAAAAGTCCCCGTGTCACCTTACGGTCTAGAATGTTTGTTTGATTTTGTAAAATGTAAAGCCGGACATGCTTCCAGTCTTAATATCAGCCGTTCACACCGGACCCCGCTGTGTATCTGCTGCTGGGTTTTGTTCCAGGAGTGATGAGAGTGTAAACATGTGTTAATCTTCTTTTCACGCTGCTCCAGCATCCACGCTGGCGTTGAAGTGAACTATATGAGTAACAGCAGGGAACTCATTAGAGGCAGCTGCCACATTGCTAGAGCCCATTGTTTACTCTGAGTTAATTAAAGGATTATAGCTGGCTGTTTATGGAAAATGCATGTGAGTGTGAAATAAAGGGACAAGGCGGCAGAATACTTGCATTAGCAGTCAACAAAACGAATAGAACATCAGGACATTTAATTCAAAATGCAACCACTCTTTGACAGATCTACATATTCATACAGTTTCACTTAAAATGACACATTTGTTTCAGTCAATTTGTGAAGAATAGTGTTTCCACCACTCTCTTTACTGTTGAGTTTGTCACTGAAGCAGCACTTTTCATTAGCTCTAAGTACAGTAATTTACTAATAGCAAAAAGAACATATTCCCATTATGAAGTCTTATCAATCAGGCGTGGTTAATTAATGGATCCGCTGAAGTCAAATGGGATTGTACACAGTCTACATGTGCATGCAGGGATATGAATTAGATTGCTTATGTTATGATTTTTTATATTTGAGTCTGTGAACAAAATAATAAAATCCACAAACGTTAAGTGGAAACATATTGGTGACAGATTTCTCTTCCTGGAACAAACTACCAGTGATTTGCGTCGGCCTGACCTGACATTGCTGATTTTATCTGTCATTAACCTCAGCTAAGCTTAGAACAGCTTCCCTCTTCTCCTCCGCTGGTCTGACAGGGGAAAGTGCTAAGCACATTAGCTGCAGGGTTCAATTATGAACTGAGACTTCTGTCGAGTGTTAAGGCTCCATGTTCACTTTCTGCATCCACTGCGCATGTTTATTATGCGCCAGGAAAGAATAAAAAGTCCAGTTGAATTTGAGGTTTACTTCATATCTATATATCTTTTTACGTAGGTATATTTTTAAAACTAGGCTGATCTTGATTATTATTACAGAGGAAGTGTGTGTTGTTCCTGCATGAAATGTAACGTGCAGCTGCAGAGATACACACACGCATTGGCGTGTGTGTGTGTGTGTGTGTGTGTGTGTGTGTGTGTGTGTGTGTGTGTGTGTGTGTGTGTGTGTGTGTGTGTGTGTGTGTGTGTGTGTGTGTGTGTGTGTGTGTGTGTGTGTGTGTGTGTGTGTGTGTGTGTGTGTGTGTGTGTGTGTGTGTGTGTGTGTGTGTGTGTGTGTGTGTGTGTGTGTGTGTGTGTGTGTGTGTGTGTGTGTGTGTGTGTGTGTGTGTGTGTGTGTGTGTGTGTGTGTGTGTGTGTGTGTGTGTGTGTGTGTGTGTGTGTGTGTGTGTGTGTGTGTGTCTGTTGCAGCTGCATGCGATGCTGAACCAGGCTGTGCATGAGCACAAAACCGCATGCACAACCTCATCGTGTGCATTCACTTTTATTTACTATCTTTGTGGTTATGCTCATGTTTTTTGCAACAAACTGAAAAAGATAAGTGCAGCTAAAAAAAGACACATATCTTTCAGCCTTTAAAAAGACAAAATGAAAGCAACACTTTTTCTGTAAACTCCCAAATACAGGGCAACACAAGTGACAGTGAATCTCATATAAAGTGATGATATGAAGAAAAGCACAAATAAAAGCAAGGTATAACAACAGTTTGTAGGTGCATTTACAAATGTTCCTTCATCTACATTAAAAGGAGGATATCAGGATCTTGAAAGCTTCTACCCAATTTATCGCCCTTTACACTTTGTTAACAGCTCCAAAGAACATAACGTTAGGGCACTTTATATCCTAAAACTCCCCATTTGAAATGTTTTTGCAAAGTTAGGAAGCCAAGCAGACTTTGAAGAATCTTATCTCTTAAGTATTTTAGTTGGAAGATGATGATATCCTAATTGTGAGTAGCTCGAGATCCAGAAGTTTCGATCAGGAGCTGAAAAGAGAATACATATTGATGATGATGTGTTAGTGTGGATATACAGCTTGTTCCAGTGCCCCCAGGTGGACAAACAGTTGGCTAATACAGGTTTCAACTGAATTTTTGGTGTCCAAAGAGTCGATTTTTATTATTTTGTATTTTACAAAAACAACGAAAAACCATTAATCCAGCTTTTCAAAGTGGGAAAATTCATGAAGACCTTTTGATATCGCCTTCTCCTCTCTCCCAGCTGTATCAAAGATTCTCAAGGTTATTTCAGATTATTTCTAACAACCTTTTTGTGTCCCCCTCTCTCTTTCTTTCTTCCTCATTGTCTGCAGTCTAAGTCACCGCTGCCCTCACATCGCCCACAGCCTGAACAAAAGCAGCGACCATGGGCAAACAGAACAGCAAGCTCCGTCCCGACGTCATGCAGGACCTGATGGAGAACACGGAGTTCACCGAGCACGAGATCATGGAGTGGTACAAGGGCTTCTTGCGGGACTGTCCCAGCGGCGCGCTCTCCATGGAGGAGTTCAAGAAGATCTACGCCAACTTCTTCCCCTACGGAGACGCCACCAAGTTCGCCGAACATGTCTTCCGCACGTTTGACGCCAACGGAGATGGGACTATCGACTTCAGGGAGTTCATCATCGCTCTGAGCGTGACCTCTCGTGGTCGGCTGGACCAGAAGCTGAAGTGGGCGTTCAGTATGTACGATCTGGACGGGAATGGATACATTAGCAAGGCGGAGATGCTGGAGATTGTAACGGTGGGTTTTACTCTTAAAGTCTGGAGTATTTTACCTCATTCAACCCCCCACTTTCTGCTTCTCTATCTGTTGACAGCCCTCAGTCTTTCAGTGGCCACTGCATGCCATCATAGTAGCGTCATGTTCCTCAAACTACTCAAGCAGTGAAGCAATATTTTGCTCAGCCATCCACACCAGCTGCTCCATCATATTTCCATCTGCTTCTGTGTTCTGCACCATTTGACCGCCCACAGCAGGGAAACCAGCCACTGAGTCATTTTAGAAACCAGCAGTTCCGACATTTCTCAATAACACTCATATGTGAAGCGCTTCGAGATTTGTCTTGGCAGATGAGAAGTGCTATATAAATTAAATGTATTATTATTATTATTATTATTATTATGTGATGTATTCCTAGAAGGGAGCGGCCCTCCTCTGATCCTCATATTGACTCAGCATTGCATCCAGCAGCTGTGAGTCCCCCCCCCTCCAGTGTTGCTTTACAACAGCTAGTTTAACCCAGGCCCCTCATCTTATTGGATAAACGGTTCTGACGCGCAACAGCAATCCTTTACACATGTTCGCAAATCCCAGTGCTAAAATGAGTGCTAGATAATGTGTAATCCCATTCTTTCACCAATCGTGTGTGTGTGTGTGTGTGTGTGTGTGTGTGTGTGTGTGTGTGTGTGTGTGTGTGTGTGTGTGTGTGTGTGTGTGTGTGTGTGTGTGTGTGTGTGTGTGTGTGTGTGTGTGTGTGTGTGTGTGTGTGTGTGTGTGTGTGTGTGTGTGTGTGTGTGTGTGTGTGTGTGTGTGTGTGTGTGTGTGTGTGTGTGTGTGTGTGTGTGTGTGTGTGTGTGTGTGTGTGTGTGTGTGTGTGTGTGTGTGGTGTGTGTGTGTGTGTGTGTGTGTGTGTGTGTGTGTGTGTGTGTGTGTGTGTGTGTGTGTGTGTGTTTGCTAAATGTCCAACATAGGGCAGCATTTACTTATTATTTTCATTGTGTATTTTGATGCCTGATTATAGGGTACCGCTGCAGCATCCCTTCATCTTACCATTACTCGAAAAGTAAAATATGTCCATCACAATAACCCCAAATCCAAGGTGAAGTCTTCAAATCATTGGTTTGAATAATAGTCCAAATCAAAAAGATATGTACAATCATTTAATTGCAAATATGTTGCTGAATGAATTTAATTTAGGTTCCTGTAATTTTATTCTACATTCATCTTCCTCAATGCAGCTGTCATATTAGTGACAGATATCCATAACATGGCCTAAAGATGATCACAATTGTAACAGGCTGAACCATTACCCGCCCATATAAGCCGATTATTTAAAGAACAGTTGTGTGTGTCCGTGTGATGGATGCAGATGATCCAAAGCACTCTTCATAATTTGGAGGAATATTTCACATTTTCTAACCGTCTAATAGAAAGATGTCAAGGACTGAACAACAAACATATGCAGCAACATTGATATATAGCAACAGCTTCAGTGTTCAAGTTCGTCAGAAAACCTAAACAGTGAAGCAATACATTCACTTTATCTATTTAAAAACCTAAACCATGTCTTTTAGCCCCGAGTACTTCCCTTTTTGTTTCCGCGCAGTCGCATCAGCCCCAGAGCCAAACATAAATAAGTAATCCTTTATCTCTCTTCATCCCAGAGGAGTTTTATTGATTGATGGGTCATATATATATTTCACTGCATCTTCAACAATCTAGCTGATGCAACCTTGCATTTGTGCTTCTAGCCGGACTATGAAACGTGATCAGACTGTAGACGCTTTGTTTTTGACTGAGATATCTACTATTTAAATGTAATACACCCACTTAAAACGTTAAAGAAGGTTACTGTAGGTGACTTAAAGGTGGGGTAGGTAAGTTTGAGAAACCGGCTCGAGATACACTTTTTGTTATATTCCATGGAATGCTCTTAACATCCCGATAGCAATGAATATCTTAAGTGCTTTGACAAAAAATCCATACAAATATTTCATCTGTGGAAGCCGTAATACTGTAAAAAGTACGACCAATCATTTTAGCCGGCCCGGCTAAAATAACTGGATGGCCTACCTGCCTGTCAGCCTTCCATCTGTGCACAAACTTATCTCGTGCCCTCATTGGTCATGTGCGCGTTCGTGTGTGTTGGAGGAGGGGCTCTGTAAGGAAGTGGCAGATTCTTTCCGGCTGTGTATTTTCAAATTCTAGCGCACTCGAGCTGGTTTCTCCAAAATTACCTACCCCACCTTTAACTAACCACAAACAACTCTTTTTACAATTGTAGTCTGAAACATAAAATCTTGTTTATGACTTCCTCCTCTCTGTTCCCTCTATCTTTAGGCTATTTACAAGATGGTTTCCTCTGTGATGAAGATGCCCGAGGACGAGGCTACACCGGAGAAACGAACGGACAAAATCTTCAGGCAGATGGACACAAATCGAGATGGTGAGCCTTCTTCATTCTGCCTTTGACTCTGCTGCAGTGTTTTCTGATAACACTAGCTTCTTTAAAGCCTACAACTGAACTCAGTGCCCTGTCAATCTCAGTAACACTGCACATGGAGAATATAGGCTAATTTAATTGGCATTTCATCTAACTTAACATCATAAGAAAACAATCAGCTATTACTAAAAATAGCCCAAATGATCACAAGACAACTAAAACTCACCCAATTAAATTAAAAGAAGCAGGAAATCCAGCCTATGATGCAATACTGGTCAAATCCTGTAGATGCAGTCTAAGTTGTAGCTGTTTAATAAAAGTTAAATAAAATAAATATAAATGTTTTCCGTTGTCCTCAAGGAGAACAATAATCTATATTATTTTCCACAATAGATTTATACAATGCACACATTTATTAGACGTAGAAGATTATTGTTATTAAAAACATGGATTAGTCACAGACTGTTGTAACTAAAGGAGGTTACTTATTTAAAGCTTGTTTGGCTATAGGGACGCTCCTGCTAAAACAGACTTTCCTGCACATGGGGTTTTTGGTTCATACCGTACTTTTTATTGTATTGCTATGAGCAATTGTTTAAGGAAAGTAACATCATCATGGGGAAGATATCTACTCTTTTATTTTGATTAAACATATTTTGTATCATCTTTTATCAACTGAAATGAATAAACAAAACCATTAATACTTGTCTTTCTCTCACAGGTAAATTGTCCCTTGAGGAGTTTGTTGAAGGAGCGAAAAGCGACCCCTCCATCGTCCGTACCTGCTGCATGTGTGATCCCAGCAGTGCTGGGCTGCTAGAAAACTGGACTCTTCCCCCATCATTGCTTTGATTCCTTTAACACAATTTTTAATATCTTCTCCCAGCTGACCCACCCTGAGATGGTGACATTTGATCCACTGAGCTTTAGAGGCACATGTACACACCATCCCAACACATACATACATACATACCCACATACACACATACAGACACACACCGACACGACACATCACACATACACACACCATGAACACACACACACAGCACTACAGACATACACATACACACATACACACAGACAACAGACTACCAGACAATCATGGACACACAGACACAGACTACATACAGAAAAAAAAAAAAAAAAAAAAAAATAAAAAAGAAAAAAAAATAAAAAAAAAAAAAATACAAAACAGAAAAAAAATAACACATACACACAGACAAGACACACACACACATACAGACATACACATATACACACAGTCCAATACATACATACATAACAATACACACATACATACAAGACACACATACACACATACACACATACACACATACATACACCAACCAATACTCATACATAACAGACATACACATACCACACAACACAACACATACCATACATACTATACACATACACACATACACAACATACATACACATACAACATACACACATCCACACACACACACAACACACATACATATACAACCACATACATAACACACAACACATACACATACACATACACAATACACATACAACATGACACACACACACACATACATTCATACATACATACACACACCCTACATACATACACCCACACACATACACACACACACACACACACACACACACACACACACACACACACACACACACACACACACACACACACACACACACACACACACAACATGCAACCGTAATACCAAAGCCTGCTGCAGATATAGTCTTTCAGACGCTAACATGCACATTCTGTCCATGTGCCTCTATGCCTGATCAAAATCTGCAGACAACACAGATCTCATACGTGGTACAAATATAACACAAAGGACTGAAATCCCATCAAAGACTTGTTAAACGCTGAATCAAAGTTGTGCTATCTCTGTCGGAGAAGACGGTCGACGAGGTTAATCCAACAGATTCGCGAGGTACATTGAGCCGAGTTCAAGTTTATTTTTATTTTTTGTTTTTATGCTCATTGTGTTCTCTTTTAACTGACTCGGGTTGTTGAGTGATGACTGACAGATTTTTACAAAGTATTCTAGCTTCATGTTAACACTGGAAAAAATGAAGTAAATTAGTCTGGCACTACAAGTTATCAAAGCTAACAGTATGGCTTACGTAGACAAGAGATCTGGGACGTTTAGTTTTAAAGTACAGAATAATTTAAAAAGGGATAAAAGCAGTTTCTTTTTTTTAAATGTCTATTTTGGAGGAAGGTTACATCAAACCAAAATGTACTCAGATTTCTAAATGAAGGGGAATATTTTGACTACAGGTCACAACCATCTGTTCTTTTGAAAATGACTTTTTATGCCAAGTTCTGTATCCACACACACACACATCACACATCACACAACACACAACACACACAACACACACATCACACAAACACAACTTAATTTAACAGATGGATACATGGATTTGACATATTCACATAAACTGAGCTGTGAACTGTGGTTCAACAAGTGTATGAGCAAAGAAAAGTTAGTAGTTGTATGAATATATAGTATGTTACTTATATATTCTTTTACTCTGTGATCACATTGTGGCGGTTCGCTACAGTGGAAAAAAAAATAATTTTACAATTTTGACTTATAAATTATTGGATTGTGATTATAAACATTTTAATTTACTTGATGAATATGATATGAGAGAAAGTTGTACAGTATATCACCCATATTTATGCTAGAGATGTTAAAAAAGGAGAGGACCACACATATTGCTATTCATTCAGAAAATCCTCAGCCACATTTAGTTTATAAAGGCTTCTTTTTGCCCTTTCTGAGAGAAAAAAGCTACAAATCTCAGTCCAATTCACTGACATCTGTTTCCCAATAAGCCGGTAAACATAGGCAGTCATTAGGATTGTGTGTATAAACGATGGCATACAAGTCATTAAAGTGCAACATTTAACAACTGGAAATGTCAAGTCTTTTGCAAATGTGACTTTACATCTCTTTAATGTGCACATAAATATTTAAGTGCAACTGTGACAAGGGAGATTACACATATTTTTTATGATTATGTCGCACAGTAACAATTGACAAATGGAACAAAGCATTGAAGTTGATAGCGAGGAACAGCAGCGTCCACCAAACCTCACTGTGTTTTTGCAGGATTTACCGTTAGCTCCAACTAGCTTCTCACTTACCTCTGACACACCAAAATATGTGGTAAGTCTTAACAGGAAGCTTAATGATAACTTTGGGAGAAAAACGATTGTGATAGACATTTCAAGTAGGTGATCATCAGGTACGTCAGTCCCACATTTCACTTCAATAGCATCTTGTGGTCAAGTGCCAAATATAGATAACTTAAATAGAAGCAAAAAAAAACACAGTATTGTATCCATTTATACTGTGCAGTTGTCTGTCGAACAAAACACTTTGTCACTGTATCATTTTGTAGATTTTGTATTGTTAACTGGTATGTATGTATTCTGTTTAGGTTATCCATTTTGTTATTCAAATAAAGACAAAGTGGGAAAAGGGCTGATTCTCTTTTTAAAAGTCATAATGTTGCATTTGAAAGTAAGACATTAACCATGCGCATGCTCGGGATAACACTGGTTCTTCTATTTGACCACTCCTGTCAAGAAATATTTGAGGGATGCCAAAAAATGTCATGGTTCGTAGACGATGGGCCTAAGCCTTGATGAATTTTCTGATTCCTTAACTTTTCCTCTGGCATCACCAGTCATATTGTACTGTGGGTTTTAAGCTAAGAGAGTAGTATAACATTTAGTATACATTATGTAAACGGTATAGAATTGTAGCACCATTATCAGGCCAAACACTTACATTTTGGGTCAAATACAGCTACAGCCTCAAAGCGTCACCATCCGATCCAAAGGTACGGCTTTGGTTTATTTAATTGAAAGCTTTTCCATTGGCCCAAGCTAATTAGCACATGCTAGTATGCTAGCCTGCCAAACTTGGTGAGGCTGAAAGTGTTCAACTCTATGGATAAACTCCACCCGATAACACAGAGATACCATTAGCTGAAAATAGGGTTTATAAACAATCTCTGTAAAAAATAAATAAACCAACCCCCAGCTCTGCCACAGTCACCAGAATATTAGGTGTTTGCTTGGCTTCTTTTAGCAACCAGGAGCTAACTGCTACAGCAACATCAAACAAACAAATTAATTTGGCTAAAGATAACTAGCTTAAGTTAGCCGAGTTTAACAGAGTAAAGCAGTAACTGCCACTGACTAGTGACGAGGTGATTTGGTGTAGCTAAGTTGCCTTTAAACACACTTATGAAGGCATTACAACAGTATTTCGGCAAGCATTAAACCTTTTTTATCTTAAATATAGACTGCACACCCTGTTAGCATTGTCATTGTGTTAGCATTTAGCTCAACAAAACCTGTTCCACAGCCTAATAAAGGGCTCACTTTTTCTCTTATTTGTTTTTACCGAACATGACATCTGTATGTTTATACTTTTATTCATGTTTTCAATACAGCCAAGAACATGATGACATGTGCCATTTGACACCTGGCAGATGTTGTTTACTCTTTTTACTTCAAGAGTCATTACCATCTAATGTTACGTCCTACAAATAAACACTTAGGCTATTTGTTGACATGTTTATAGATAGAACAACATGGCTGAAAAATTGTCATTTAAAAACTCCTTGAGTACTCTTATAGAGGGCGACTAGAATCAAAGTCACTGAAATGTAAAGAACTTGAAATCTTTGAATAAATTGCTATAGAAATGCAAAACATTGTCCTTAAAAATAAATAATAACACAACTAACAAAAACAAAGGCATGCAAAGGAGCTAAATTAAGTAGGACCAACTAATCCAGGCTACATACAGGCATGAGGCATGAGGCTAATCCAGATGTGTTATTTGGCAAGATCACAAGACTGTACAGGAAAGTAGATATTTTTTCATACAATCAAAAATATTCAGTAAAAGTGGGGAACACAGATATGTGCTCCATCAATTCACCTCACAACATAGGGGGTAAGCACAACCAGGAAGGGAATATAACCAGTTCATAGGGGTTTCTATAAAGTCCTCTAGTTTTCTGTGAAATGCGACGTGTAGTGTAACAGTGCCAGAGAGGGATCAGGTGTGACGACGTTGACTTCGGAGCGTCTGATTTACGCCACCAATGGACCATCTCCAATACTGTCAGTCAGCTTATCAGCCAATCAATAGCAGCCTCGTGGATTGCAGTCTCTTTTGTCTAAAGCTGCGGTCCTTCGAGTCCACCGAGGAGCGGTCAGATCTCCATCAGCGTGATCTTGTAGGCTTCTGCGTAGCTCTCAATGTTGAGGATGAAGGTGTCTTCGTTGGAGTAATGCTCAATGATGTTATCGTCCATGTTCACCAGGATCCTGACACAAAGCACACTTGCAGTTTAATTTCATATGCTTTAAGGGAGAGCTCAGATGTTTAGAAGTGTTGTCTTTATCTATAGTCAGTGTATTACTGACAGTTAATGGTCAGTAGCCTGGAGAAACAGAGTTACAGCAGAAGCAGCAATGCACTGCTAGGGATTGAGATTTTATCCACCTACACAATTTATATTTGTACGCTTTATTTAGAATATTTTCACCACTTTACCTTGCCTTCAAACTGTCCTTTCCAATTAAACTGAAGATGTTATCTATTTTCTAGTCAAAACTAGCAGACTTGTTTGACAACTACTTTTATTTTTCCGTCTAAAACACAACAGTTGCTGGTCTACTATTCCCATTGTCAGTTTGTTTGTTTGCTTTTGTGTGAGTTTTGTGTTTTACAGGGTTAGTTCACATTCACACACTAAACAAACAAAGTGACCGATTGACACAGAGGCAGACCAGAAACTTCCTGTTCTGCAAGGGAAAATTCATATTATTTTCAAAGGAGTCCGGTGGCTTCAAAGA